AAAGGTCTTTCTCTGAGAGGTGCAAATAACCCTATTTATGACAAGAGTTGTGCAGCATAAGGATTTTTCCCCATGTGTAACAAATGCTTACATTTGGGAGAAATGCTTTTGGGGTGAACTGGTTGAGCTAAAGTGCTGGTGGCAGACTGCTGCCTTCTCTGGGGATCCTCTGTTCTCCACAGCTTCAGCACCTCTGTTGTACCTCTGCTAACTTCATAGCACCATGATTTATTGCTGATAATGTCTGGATGCTGTTTAGTAGATCATATGATTCTCTCTTTCTCTACAGTCTGGTGCTACTTTATTGATTATATAACTCATTTTCTCATCAAGTTCGGTAAGGTAACCACTTCCCACTTGGTTTTATATACAGCTGCACCTACTCACATATTGACTACATTTGTAGGATTTGCAAGCAAAAGGCTTTGAGAATGCATATAAATAAAAGAAAAAACAGGTTCTTTGTCTTACAATGGTAGTGTCAATGAGAATGAAAATAAATATGTTGTAGTACAGAAGACACTTTCTCTCCAGGGCACTTTGTCCTAGGGAAGAAACTGGAAGTTGCAGGTTCATCATTTAACAGTGTTTGTGTCAAATTCACCCTTCTTTTTATTTCTTCCCTTCAGATTGGCAGGGCCCCCACATCTTCTGTGGCACCTGAAAAATCTGATTTGCATGCAAATTGCTCCCGTTTAGGTTAAAACACTGCTGTCATTCTTTTTTCAAACTTCTTTCCTTTTTCATGTAGAAAAGGAGGGGTAGAAAAAATTACTTAAGTGATACACCTTCTCCATACAAGATTAAACAGAATTGCACTGGAAGTGGAAAGATGTGCTTTTTTTGAGACCTGTCAGCCAGCCAGCAAATGGAGTGTTAAGTTAGAGATGCCGGCGAGATGTACTGTATTAGTAGAAGAAAGAATAGGAATTGAAGAGCAAGAATCTGAGCACTGAAAGGAGACTACCAGATATATCTGAGCAGCTACTCAAGAGCATGAATCGTGGCCTGAGTTATACTAACCTGGCTTGGTGATCATCATTGTGGTGACTGGTTCCTAACGAGCCTGCTGATCTATTTTCAGCACCAGCCATTAATGTTGCTAGATACAGGCACCTGGGAGGCCCTGTGGACCGCACTGGGGGAGCTGGCAGGGTCTGAGGGACCTAGATCATGTGATAGGGTTCTCTGGAGAAGATAGGACAGGGCATCCTTCAAAGGATAAGCCTTGTTTGGAACAAAGGGCTGGATGTGTTAGCTTGAACACAGGTTTGTCAGGTGCTTGGTAGCCTCGGTGCTGCCAGCTTCTCTCTGCCAGGCTGGCTTTGTTTGCTGCCCAGCTGCTGGCCTCTTTTCTTTTTTCCCCTATACCTGCTCTGCCCTTCACCACTAATCAATTGTTTCAGGCAAAGCTGGTCAAAACGTTTTTATTCAAAACTTATTTCCCTTGAGCTTGGCAGCATCAAAGAAAAATGTAAATAAAAAGATACTGTAATTTTTCTGGGAAAAATTCTCATTTTCAAAGTTAGAAGCTGAACTGTTGCCACCCAGCTGGGGGGGGGGAGGGGGCACAACACCTTTCCAATTGTTCTTTTCTGCTTTACCTTCTCTCCTTTCTTCATTCCATCTCTGTTCTCCTTCTCCATTCTATGATTCTACAAGCTCTTTTTCCCTACTTGGCTGTGTAAAAACTGCCAGAGAAGTGAAAGGAATCTAGGCTGATATGGAGACTTCTTATCCGAGTTGAGTGCTTTTCATCAAAAAAATAATTGGATGTTTTTTCAATCTCCTTTCCTCAAAAAATTAATGGTTATTCTTGGAATGGTTTCTGCCTTGGATGGGCTAAGGCTTCTCCGGTTTCCTTGCCCATTAGGGTGAGTAACAGCCAGTGGGGCAGAGCTGGGCTGGTGCCCTGTGCGCTGGTTCCCAGACCTCTCCATCAGGCAGCAAAGCCTGTCCATTAAACTGCCTGTGTGTCTCTTGAGTTTCCCACTGATTACATGCACATGGCTGAGGCTGAAAGAAGGATGCTGCTTTGCCATTGCTAGAATGATGTTATCTGGCCAAGAGAGTTACTACTAGCAAGTGCTTATCCTTGTGAGAAAACAGACTCCAGGCTGGAGGAGATTGAGGCCTGGTAGAGGATTCACTGCTAAAGCAGTGACATTTCCTTGTGCTGCTTGACATAAATTGAGAGCATCTTAGTAAAATAAATAAATAAATAGTAAAATGAATAAAGGTAAGGTTCCAGATTAATGCCTCACCCTAGTCTAGGGAAGAGCTGGGATTATACAATATCCAACTTTTGTACAATTGAGTTGCAGGACTAGGGGACTGTGTTTCCACAGCATATCACTTGGGGTGATGCTGTCAGTTGCTGGGTGATTAGCAGCATGAATCAGCTTACAGGTACCTTTTTCTGCTGGGACTCCTACCCTTGAACTTAAAGCAAATGATCAGAAAGATTTATTTGACAGATGAAGCTATTGGAGCAGTTTATTTGTTTGATCTACTGAGTGAAAGCTGCAAACCAAGCAGTTGATTTTTCATCCTTTGTTAACAGCTTGCAATCTTACAGGTTCAGATTGTATTTGGATTTCAAAATAACTTAAAAAGTTAAACTGAAAAGCAATCTGTGGTGCGCTGCCAGAAGAATGGTTGTGCTCCGTCAAAGCAAAGGTCCCTGGTGCTGGCTGGCAGCAAGTACCTGGGGAGAATGTTTAAGAATGGTTTGGCTATGTGTTTGGCTTCTGACTGCAGTTTGGGGACTTCAACCCCCAAAGTATGGCCTTTATGTTTGTTAGCCTGTGATGAACCCATACTCCGTTTGTTTGCTTTTTGAACCCATTATGCTCCCAGACCCTGCATTGTCCTGCAGGGGTGAGTTTCATAGTCTTGTGTTGTATTAGGTATTATTTCTGTGCATTGTGTTTTGTACCTGATACCTACTCATTTTGTTGTGTGCCCTCTAGTTCTTTTCTAGAAAGTAGTTACAATTCATTCCTTATTTGACACCTCCATAGCACTTACCATTTTATTGCCCCTCCATTCCTGTGCTAATCCCATAATTACCTCTTTCTCTATCTGAAAAAGTGAAGTTTTTACTGGAGTAGAAGCTATTTCAGACCCCTCATTATCCAAGTTGCTTATCCATGTGAGTCTATTATAACCTTTCAAGACTTCTGCACTGCATTGAAGAAATGGGGGTGCAGTATGGATTTGTCATGGCAAGGCTGGTTTTGTGGCCTTATTCACTAGTTTTCATAATATTTATCTGCCTTGTTTTACTGAATGCTGCGCTATTTTCAAAGAACTGGTTGGACAGTCACTGAGATACCTTTCATAAGTGAAAATAGCTGAATTATGTCCTTCAGCTTCTTTACAGGTAACACTGCTGCAAAATTTGGCTTTCCTACTCTAGGCCTAGTGTCATGAGTGTTCCTTGTGCACCTTCATCAGCTCTGACACTATGAGCTCTCAGGAAGCTGCCCTATTTCTGCAACACTTGAAAAAGAGTTGTAATTAAATTTTCATGCTGCTAGGAAGTTGCTTACCGCAGTTGTTTTTTGGTCTGCCCTCCTATGATTCCACATTAACTTGCCAGAAGTTCATGATCTTTTCTTCTTTTGCTCCTTTGAACATGATATTCACATTCTGAAGGATATTCATTTTCCCCTTTTTGTCTTTACTGCCAGTAGCAGCCTTAATCTGCTGTTCAGCCCCAAATAACAAATTGATTTTTTTAGTCCTTTTAAAGTATTTTGAATTAATGATGTAAGTATCCTGATGCTTTCCTATAGTACCTGTACATGATCTCCTGGAATTATTTGCAGCTTTCCAGCTATTTCTTTTTACTGCTATACTGATTTTTATGTAGTTCTACTTTTTCAGATCCAAGTTTATTGCTTAGATATCTGTGGGTTTGTTGTTTTTTTTTTCTTATATAGGATGCTGAAGAATGTGTCATTGGGGATGAGCTGATTTCTATTACAGTTTTTTAACTAGTTATTTATGATGTCTAAAAATACAGTGTTTTCATCATCCTGTCAAGATAGTTTCCCAGTCTGTGTGAGGTGGTTTCAAATCATTCCTGTTTTCTGTCTACATACCCAGTCTCCTGTAGTCCCATGGACTAGTGTTACAATCTGGTTGGCTTTAAACTAATCTTCATTTGTGCTTTTTTTGACAAGTCACACCACTTCCCCACTGGCCTCACTTGCTCTCATGTTCTCCTGCTTCTTGGATTTGGGGGTTACAGTTTCCCACTGGGTTTTGTCTTCCCTTGAGCCTTATCTTGCTGTGTCCCCCTTATGTGAGTCCTCCTCCTCTGCAACAGCATGGGGCTTGCTGGCGGAAGGTGGATGCAGTCTGTGTCTGTGCACTCCTTGGCACAATGCTCTGAAGATGGGGAATTGTCTCATCAGCAAGCTGTCCTTTGTTGTAGGAAGCACCACTGTGCTGTTGAGTAACAGCACAGGTAAACCTAGAGTACTTGAGTAAACCTTGAGTACTGTGCAGTGCTGGCCACCTTACTCCCAAAAGGATATAGCAGAACTGGAAGAGGCAGTGAGGTCAACAGTGTGGACAGTGTGGATGTTTCTGGTGCTGGGAATGACTGATTGACAAAAGACTCATAAACTGTGAAAAGAGAGAAACTTTGGGGGATCATCAGATATACAGACTTACGTGAGTAGTAATGGGGAGGTGGGCAGGGACTGCTTTTCACTGCCTCACAAGGCCTGGGGCTACCAGAGGAAGACAGCTTGAGGAGGAACAGGAGCTGGACCTTCATGCAGTGGGTGGTAGGTCTGCAGAGGTCTCTGCTGAAGAGATCTCTGTTGGGCGCAAAAAGTGTACCTGGGTTCAGTGGGAGGCTGGTTAAGTACCTGGAAGAAAAACAGTAAACCATGTCAGGCTCAAAAATCCTTGGAAATGAATATGGTTGGAGGTGTGAAGGCTACTTAATGCACCTGTGGTGTTCTGCTTTGCTTTTTCTTCAGCATCCACTTATGGCTATGGCTGGAGAGCAGGCTGCCTGGGGGAGAGGGGTCCTTGCACAGAAGAAAGGCTGCTGATATGTTCTCATCTTGCGTTAAAGCTTTTGAGGTAGGTTTTGATTTACACCTCTGGTGTCCACCAGACCTAATTGAGTAGATTGACCCTGATTCTTACACAGAAGCCAATTAATCAAAGACTGACTAATCAGCTTGCTCAATGGTTGGCACCTTGCAGAAAGGCTGGATATCAATGACATGCTACCTCTGCAAGCCAATTTTATGCTCTGAGATTTATAGCCAGTTAATTCTATTGAATTCTGTGGATTTACTGTAAACTTTAATTATTATAAGCTCTGAAACATAATACAAGTTACTTTACTTAGCTAGTTCAAGTGGGACTTTAAAAACTAGGTTCTGTAGATGCTTTAATCACACTCGGAAGTTTTACCACACTATTAAAACTTAGCTGAAATCTGTCATCTCTCCCTGAAACTAAATACCCTCAAAATGACTAGCTGAGCAATAGAGTCAGAACTTAATATTTAGGGTTTAAAAGTAGTTTTATTCAAAGGTCTTAATTTTTAACATTTGACACTGCTGAAAACTGGAACTTGACATTTAAGCTAAGGTTCTCATTTACAGAGCTGCAGCAGTTAATAATCATTCAATGATGTGAACTGCCATCTATTAGGATTTTCAAATTGAAGATGCACTGTGAAATAAGATAAAATTAAACAAAGCAGAATAAATGCGTACAAACCCTTATTCTTGTCACACAGCTGAACTCATTTGTGTTAGCGTGGCCTGTGCTGGGGCTGAAGCAAAGGTCAGCAAAGGGTTCTGGTCAGAGGCTGTGGCACTGTCCTGAGGGGAGCAAGTGCTGCTGGCATCCTTGTCAAGGATGACATGAGAGGTGATTTGAGTTTTTTTCTTTCTTCCAGGCAGGCCTATGTATGAGCTCCCAGGTGATCCTCTGAGCCCACTTCTGATGCAATTTTTCTGCAGGAAGGGGGTAAGTGGGCTGTACTTTGTTTTGTTGATGTTCAGTTTTATTGTGATGCTCCAGAAAATCACATTTATTCCCTTTCTGGTAACAAATATTAAAATCTCTGATTTACCAGCATTAATACACTTAATTAAATAAACTAAATTGCCATGGAAAGTTATGCAGCCTGTCTCTTAATGTGCTACAACTTTCCTTTGGTTCATCTTCTCACCACACTGCACCCTGGAGGCCCTCCACTGACATTTTCCATTGCTTCTCAAAATTGATTGACAGGTGAAGCCCAGACACCCCTCTCTGCTGTGTTGTTTATGGTCTTTGGAGCCTGCATTGTAGAAGCTGCCTTCTTTGCTTGGCAGCTTCTCTTGTTCTTGTTTCTCTTAATGACTTTTGTGTCCTTTTTTGTCACTTCTACGATCTAAAGCATGTTTTTGTCACTGAAAACACAACCATTTTTTTCCCTCTAGTCAAATCTTGAGCTGGACTACCCTTGCAACCATGTCTTTACTGATGGCAAATCCCTCCTTGCACTATTAGTCTCATAGCTATCTTTTAAGTGTTTGATTTTCTTTTCATTGCTGGTAGATAGCTATATTGCATTCAATGGAGTTGTACAGACTCTAAAAGTGTGATTCTCTGTGTTTTCTGGGGCATGGGCATTCCCCAGTGCAACTGAGATTCTCTTTAGAGTAACTGAAAGGTTTTGAGGAGCATTATTTTGCTGCCCATTGTTATTTAGTCCCCCTTCACCCCCCCCCCACGCCCCCACCCCCCCCCCCCCCCGTTCCCCCCATATTTACATCCAGACAAATCTTTGTTTCAGAGCATGGCTGGATCTGGGCTGGGTTGGCAACACAGCCCTGGCATCCTCCTTTCCCCTATTTGTGGTGGTGCCCTCCAGGCAGATTCCAGGCTGTCATTCACAAGTGCTGAGCATGGACAGATGACAGTGCCTGTGCATGTCAAGTACTGTGAAGGTTTTGTGATAACATTCCTGGTGTTTTGAGCTCCTTATGGCATTTGCTCAGGCATTTCCAAATGGTTTTACTGTGTATCATGAGCAGCTGGACCTTCAGTCTGATACTGTGGCTTATCAGTGTCATTGGGATTAGTTTGTAGTGTTTGTACATGGCAAGTGTTTGAATTAACTAAAGCCACACTGGAGGCATCTTCCTCTTGCTTGTCAGTGGTCTCAATCAGTGCATGTGTTGCTGTTTGCTGATTTTTTTTCCCTTCCTGGGATATTTGGTTTTGTCTCCCTCATCTCTGTCAAGGTAGCTGTTAGGTGGGTATTTTCCTCTCTGCCTCTCATCTCTTCCCATCATTGAGTGGATGCTATTGCCTCTATTCCAGGTCTGTTTCTCTCATCCGTCCAGCTACACTGCTTTAGCCTATGTGCTGACTTGGTATTTACATTCCTGTTTTGGTTGTTTTTATTGGCAGAGCCATTGCCTGTGGCTCTTTGCTTGCATTTTTTGAGATTTAGATCTTCTCTATACCCTTGCTTGCAAGTGGGACTCATGTAACCCACAAGCTCTCTAGTTTGCTGTTTCCAAAGTATTATGTGGACTCAGTTGCGAGGTGAAGAACACTGATCATCTGTTTCTTGGTTTCTGATCAAAATCTGCTGCTTTTCAGGGGAAATCCAGCCTCCATCCACCTCATTTGCAACTGTAATAGTTTGGTTGTATTTCTGGAAACGCTGTCTTTCACTGCTGGAATATTATTAAAAAACTAAACCAAACAAACAAAGAACAGCAACAAAAAACCAAGCACCACCCAAATTTAACCAGAAAAAGAAAATCATTGCCATTGATTTTCAGGTCTCTAATTAGACCTGAACCATCCCTGTGTACATAGACTTTTTTCTTTGGGAATCCACCTCCTGTGACGTTTGAGTTGGCCTGCCTGCTTGCTGTGTCTCTAGGAGTTGATTTGCCTGCCAGCTTGTCTTTGTTGGGCATCCCATTAGACTGAGTGCTGCTCCAGGCTTTCCTTCCTCCCACCTTCACTATCACAGTAGAAAATACGTGGGTTGCAACAGAGATTAGAGACCTGGTGTTCCCCTGAAACTTCTTCATATTTTATGAACTGGACAGCTCAGATCCACTTCAGATGCTATTAAATTAGTGGGAATTTTTTTCACTGGAATAAGTGAGACCTGGAGTCCAAGGTAAAAGTCAGGATTGGATCTGAAAAGCCATCTGTGAAGCATGCGGGTACACAGAATTGTAGTGAGCACTGCCGTCAAGCAGCACATACTGGAATAGCCACAGGGAAACTGTTTGATCAAATTACTGCTTACTTAATAATCTGAACAGACACAGTTTCTCTCTTTGCATACTTCATCAAACCAAGTCACATTTTTCTACTACAGACTTAGTGGGCACATGGATTTTGTTGATATTTTGGACTATAGGTGAAGCTAACATTTTGTTTGTAGGTAATGGCTTACAGACTTAGTTTTCAAGTGTGGTTTCAGGTAAACAAGGCTATGCATTTGGTCTGTGCCACTTCACAGAACACTTTGTGAGGAAATGCTGTGGAGTCAAAACAGGTATTTAATTAAAACACTGCTTCTGCTAAGAGTTTCTTCCTCTTGAGTCTGGGCCCTTGTCATCTGTACCTATTAACAAACAGCAGGTGGATATGACTTGGGCAGAAATGTGTTGTGTAAATATTTCTGCCTTCATGCTTATCTAGCACAAGCATCTTCCTTCCAGTATAGTCTGCTGCTGTACTCTGTTAGCCCAGAGGAGTGGAGGACCGGGCAGATGATGGGTGAGTTCAGGAAGGCGTGCCAGAGATGTTTCACTCATACTTTCATACCTTGGTAAGAGGAGTGAGAAGTGCACTGACCTGAAGTCTATTTCATAAGGTTTTCCTGGCTGTGGGGCTCCTGACTCAGAGGTCTGACTCCATTGTACAGGGTTCTCTCATTTGTCTCCTGTTTTTTTTGACCAAGGCTTGAGGTGAGGAGGAAGAGTAATTTTACTTTGAGCCCAAGAAGTGTGAAATATATTTGGGTTTGCAAGAGTACAGAATGTTGAGGAAGGCTTAATATAGTGAACAAAGTGGAAGAGTGAGTCGTTGCTGCTTGTGTGCATTTTTATTATTATCCTGGTTTTCCTCCACATTAATGGCTTTGTTCAGCCAAGCTTACCTCTAACAAATGCTGTGTGCAGTGATAATTGTTTTGCAAAGGAACTGAAATGACAGACGTGTATATTAAATACTGGTAGGGTGTCATGGCAGGTATCCCATGGCTGCTGCTCTGTGAATGGATGAAATCAGCCATGCCAGCATAAAGCTTCTTTTTCTTGGCATAACTGGGCCATGTCAGGGTTGATCTCTCACCTGGGCCCGGAGCACTCATGCTGTCAGGGTCCCCATGAGGCTTTTGCTCTGGATGCAGGAACTGAAGTTGGATAAGGGGCTGTGAAGGGCCAACGGCAGATGGACTGGGGCTCTTGGGAGCTCTCTGGAGTCCTGGGGTACCCCCTTGATCCCTCTTCCTCCCTGGATTTGCAAAGCCTCCTCTCTCCCTGTCACTCACCACTTGATAACGGGTCTGGTATTGCCTCATGGGGTGGCTTTGCACATCATGAGCTGAATGAATTAATGACATTACCTCTCTAGGAGGTGAATGCCAGGTAAGTACTGTACTAGTTTTTTACTCCAGGTTTGTTACAGGGCAGTGTACATTATTATCCACATCAGGACAGGGGAGGTCTAAATGATGCTCATCTCAGTTTAGCTCAGCACGGTGAGCCACTGTCTGGTTGGGGAGAAACGGTGTGGCATGCAAAGGCAGTGAGGACTTTGTGTGGCTTTAAATTAAAAAGGCAAATTCTGATCAGTGAAAGAGTTTGGGATGAAGTACCCTCTCCTGCCCTCTCTGAGAGACGTAAGCATGGTACACCTTGAAAAAGAATTAGAAATCAATTTCTGAGTGATTCTCTCAGAGGCACCTTGGCAAAGGGCTTTTGGTGGAGCTTTGAAGAAGAGCATGGCTGGCTGGGTGCCAGTTCAGCAACAGACACCTGAAAGGCATCTCATTGCTTGGCCAAGCTGGAAGCATGTACATTGTTGGGTAAAGTGGCTGTGCCATGGCTCCCAGATGAAAGGATGTTTGATCTCTAAAATAATGGTGGAAAGGTTTGTGTGAAATACATTGTCAGGGTTTTACAAACATTGGTTTGATATTTAGCGGGACATAAAGGGAGTATGTCTACAGTTTAGACAGTTCAGTTGTTGACAAATAATAAAACCTGGCTACATCTGAAAATGTATTTGAATTTCTGCCAACTGCTCTAGCTCTTTTAGCACAATGGTTCTGAAAACTAACAAACCAACCAACCAAAAGACAACAGAAAAAGGGCTGTGTCAAGTTGACAAGAGTTTATTCTCCTAACATTATTGTAGCATGATTTCTGGATTACTTTTTCTGTTGCAACTGTATAAATGATGGATTCAAGAGTAAAGTTTAGAATGAAAACTTAATGTGGGAGAATAAGGAAAGCAAATCAGTGCATGGGAGTCAGAGTGGAAGACTTAAATGGTTTCCAGTTTTCCGTCATGTATTTGACAGTCCTGGTGAACTCTGGAGAAATCTGAATTGAAGTGAATTAACATAATATTACCACACAAAAGTTGTCAGGGGCTACAGTGAAAGTTATCAAGGGAAGAGTTCAAAAGTAAGGGAATAACAGAGTAACCAGTGGGAAAAACTTAGAAGTGAATTCTCTGGTACAAAGCTAACTCAGTGACAGTGGCATGGATGGAGGATGGTTTTTCTGGGTGCTGAATAAGGTGTGTTGAGACTGAGACATTCCTTTTTCCTTGGCAACTGATTTCACTGTTTCCCTTATGGAGCTGCTACTGGGACATTAGTTTTCAATCATGCAGCACTAGGACTAAGTACAGAGAACAGGGCACCCACAGACATGTGGGTGAACTGCCCCGGCCCTTTCCTGGTAGCCTCTCCCTGCAAATCTTCAAGGGATTGG